TGTGTGTGTGTGCCCAAAATCCTGAGATGAGAATAGAGGAGAAGGGATTGTGGTGTGGCCATCCCACCCTGGGGGGTGTAACTTCTCACTTTCTGTGTCTGTCTCTGCAGAGTGCATGTGCCCTATAGCGAAAATCTCTCTCAAACAAAACTCTACTGTTTTTGGAAGTAACTTGACATCAAGGGTGAAGTAGGTAGAGCTTTATATATTAACATTATGGCCTCTGGTTTGGGCAATTGGGAGGATGCTGTTGACACTGATAGAGATAAGAAATGGAAAATTTACAGGGAAATATCAAATTCAGTTTTAAGTTGATTTTTTCCGTAAAAATTTTAGTAGATAATTGGCTCTTTGGATTTAAAAGATATCTGGAGAGGAGATATTTGTTTTAGTATATTTGGAAGATGCCAGGATTTGCAAAAATAATATCAATAAGAATTTCAAGCCAGAATAAAAAAAAAAATCAGGAAGAAGTAGGAAATGATAGTATTTGATGGAAACTGCATGGACCATTAGAAGAGTTTTCTGTTTTGCTCTCTTGTTTATTGCAGTGTTCCGTTTTTACAAAGCTACAGTACAAACCATCTACAGCTATGAGAAATGGTTGTCTCTCATAGGAGATGTTTTTTTGCAGACACCCACATTGTAATTCCCTTAGCAGGAGCGAAGATACCAGATGGCAACCCAGAACCCCAGTGAGCAAAGGCACTTGCTTCAAAGAACCACCCTCACACACGGCGAGAAACTAGGTTCTGTTAAATCGAGTCCAGCTATAACACTGCAGGGTTTTGCTTTTTTTTTCGTTTTTTCCACACATGTGAAAAAGAGAAGAGATATTTAAAATAAATCTTGGCAGACAATAAGACAGCCAGCAGGTTACCCCAGCTACACGTTGCACGTCTAGATCACTGCACGCTTCGTAATTTACTCAAATCATTTCCATTTCAGTCTTAGTCTTTCTAAAATGAGGTCCATCCTTCGAAATCGGCTGGGATGAATATTTCTATCAGTAAGTGTTATCTTGATTCTGGTATGGATAGCTCAGAGAATTGGCCACTGTGGGCCATTGAAGAAAAAAGTCCACGACATAGGACATTTTCCTGTGTGTGCAATGGAGAACATTCCCAGAGTCTGAAGCTGAGGAAGTAGAGTAGTTGTGGACAAACAGCAAGACACATCATCAGTTGCCTTTTTCCATCAGTACATATTTATCTCTCTAGCTTCACAAGTGGAAGGTGCCAGTTAAGAGGAAAACCATCCTGACTAGCTAAGAACATGGATAAAATTGCAGAATTTTGGACAACAAGCAAAAAAAAAATGAGATTATAGACTCTCTTTGTCATGAATCATGAACACACTGCTAAAACTCAAATATCTCTCAGAGCTTATAAAAAATCAGGGACAAAGAGTAAGAAATCTATTTTCAAACTTTACATAGCTAATAGACACGATCTAAATTTAATTGCTCCAGTGTCACAATGTAGTAGCTATTTGCAGACAAAGTAACCAAACTTGGAATAAGGAAGAATCAGATACATCAAGTGATGATAATTTTGGTAGAAAGCCATATGTAACAAATGGAAATTGTCACTATAAGAGGAAAGTTCAGCAGTAGATTATTAAACAACAATGCCTTGAAAGAAGTGGTAAATACTATGTTTTGAACATATGCTGAAATTGTGCTCCAAGAAATAAAGGCTTTATGAAAACTTTCCTTTCCTTTAAGGTGCATGCACTTATCAGAGAGACAGAGAGAAACAGAGAGGGGAAGCAAGAAATCACTCCCCGGGGTATGGTCACGCCATAATTCTTTCTCCTCCATTCTCCTCAGGATTTGGGGCACATACACACACTCGCCTGGTGGGAGTTTCAAGTCTCCGGGTCTGGGACTTGAACTGTGGTCAGCTACATGAAAGTCCAGCGACATAACCATTACACTATCTGCTGGTCCTAGAATTTTCCTCTCAATGGTGAACTTTTCTTAAAGTCTCATGCAGCGTCACTCATAAACAATTGGTGCCAACAACATCCAGGCCACATGGGACACACCCAGCCGGTGCCTCCTTTTTTGATATTTTACCACCGAAAAA